TACGTACCTGGTACATGAAGAGAGGTCGCCGATGGTGTGGACAGTCATGTACATTGCTCTTCTGAGCCGAAGTGATCCTGTTGTGTGAACCAGCTGTAGCGTAGGATAGTATGGTAGAGTAGGCTGGGCGCTGTGCGCCAGACAGAAAGAGCGACTCTGGATACTGTGTTGGTGTGGCCTACGGGCTTGGACATTGGCTCAATACTTCATTGTATTGCTCTTTATGGATGGTTTTCTCGGTGCATTTGTACTCTCTACTTGGGATACTACTACTTGCTCAGCTGTGTGATTTCGCAACTTGGTTTTATGTATATCGCTCACACTCATATTCCTTGCACCAGGGACTGGAGAGCATTATTTGGTATCAGCATGTGTTTACATGTAGATACGAGTACCCTATTAGATGGGCGCAATCATCAACAATGTATACACTCTGAAGAGTCTGAACCAATGTGACCTGCCTGACAGGGCTGCTGAACCAATTGCAAGCCGGTCAGGTCAAGAGTACACAACGTCAATAATGCAAACTGAAAGCCCACTGCTATGTTTCTCATGAGAGGTGACCAAATGAAGATGGAGCAAGGAAGATATAATTGTCCTTCAGATTCTCAACACCAGTCGTGAGTGAGGACATCCAATTCGCACCTAGCAAGCCTGCATCTTATAAAAAGAATTCAACAGGACAACTTGCAGGCTAGCGGTGAGTGCGGACAACACAATGGTCCACAGTCCCAACCATGCAAGACAACAAACTCACCTCAGCGGGAAGATATTCAGGTTCGGGAAGATTGACACTGGAGTGGACACCCATCAAGAATGGGGTAATCGCATCCAAAAGCTCTTCCGAAACAAATGTATTTGGCAACACAGGCGCATAAGCATGCTGAGAATCACAATGGAAGACAGCACAGAATGCCACAAAAGCACAGTGCACAAAACAAACCCACCATCAATTTTTTTTGTCGAAGACACGCTCAACACAGGCGCATAGGCATGCTGAGAACCACAATAGAAGACAGCACAGAATGCCACAAAAGCACAGTCCACAAAACAAACACACCATCAATTTTTTTGGTCAAAGACACGCTCCATGCCACGAAGGGCTAGCAGTACCAGAGATACATCCACGTCATGAAAGCACTTTCCATGCCGAAGATACGCTCTCTCAAACATCTGATCACACAATGGAACGCCAACAGGTCACAGCAACACTAGATCTGGCGTCGTCGATGTTAACTGACACTAAGTGGTACTAACTGAGACTTACAATTGACAGACAAAGTTTGACCGCTGGTCACGTGGTGTGTTTTGCATTTTTTTCCTTAAAAAAAAAGTGTTACGTTGCGTTTTGCATCATTCAGGACAACCAGACTTGTGTCAAAGACAGTCCCAGGGAAGCCACAAGGCTCATGTAGACTGCATTCTGCCACGGTACAAGGACACACCCGTACTTGGCAAGCAAAAAGCCACGCACTTCCAGGATTTAAGGTGGACCCCATTTCCCAGTCCTCCACCGCCCTTCAGGTCACATCTTTCCAAAAAGTTTCTGAGGAGGATTGTTTGCAAGGTTTCCACAAGCAACAACATCCTTTAAGGATGTCAACTTGACGATAACCAAGCCATCCTCCCCTGCTTGTTCATAACGCACTTAACAGATTGGGTGAGAAAATTTCAAGTTGAGTTCTAGAGATTCAAAAAAGACCGGCCATAACGTTTTTGACAAGGTAAGCAACACCTTCCTTGACCAAGCTGTTATTTCAAGGTCTCTACGCTCTACAGTGTCAGAAGATAGTTGGTCTGCGACCGGACTGCTAATCTTGCAAGGAACCCGACTGTTCATCACTTGCTGGAGTGTAACAGATAGCATGCACGTAGTACAGATCACACAGATTGCATTGCCTCACACGAAGCTTAAAGGAGGATGAGTGGAAGCCAGGAAACACAACTCATTTATCATAACCAGATTAAAAATGAAACGGTTTTCACCTGATAGCAGTAGCGAATGCAGATCCCAGGGCTCGATCCCTAGCTCTCACCTTATCTGTGTACAGTATCTGTGTTGACCCTGAGAGTTGAACGCGTGACCTGTGTGTGTTCGCAGCAGTTAGGAAGCTGTCGTAGAGTTTGTAGGTGTAAGGGTTCGTTCTGTAGACCTGTCGGGTAGAGGTCTTAGGGAGTTCTAGAAGTCGTAGCTGTAGGGCTCCTGAAGGGTCAAGGTCGTAGCTGCTACAGTCTTCGAAAGGCCAGGTCCTAGACTTCTGGAAGGTCCTAGTATTGGCCTTTCGAAGCTGCTCACGTTTGAGACAGAGGCAAGTGGGAAAGTGGTGGAGTCTACCCATGCTGAGTCAGGAGTCCCAGTCCCAGACAGTCCTAGTCCAGTCAAGCAAGTACCGTACGGGACTGTGTGCACCACGGGCATGGGAAAGGGCCAGACCAACGAGCTACAGAAGTATAAATTGAGAGGCAGCAACCAGCCATTCATTCATTCTTGTGTAAGCCATGCGGAAGCGCTGCCACAGCGACTTGTGCGAGGTGGTCTACAGTAGGCCCGAAGACGAAGTGAGCGAGAAGGAAGCTTAGCCATAGCAATAGGGTAGGCAGAGGCCATAGCTGCCATAGCTGATAGGAGAGAGAGTGGGGTGTATGAGTGTGCGATTGTACAGTGTGTTGCGTTTGGGATATCCAGGGTGATCCAGAGTTGAAGTGTGAGCAAACAGTGGTGTTGAACATAGTGACGAGGGTTGGGATGTATAGGTGCTGGTGCACCATAGCCTGTTGAAACGAGTTGCATCTGAACTGTGTTCTTGGCTTCCATATCTCTGAGCTTTGAGTGGGCGCTATGCGCCAGTGTGAATCACCATCTGTTTGTATGCATCCGAAGCGAAGAACTGAGCGAGTCTGATTGCAAAAACGTGAGTCCAAAATGTATAGCGCCCAACAGAACTCTAAGTCTCCTTCATCCACCATGAGATCCAGGCCTGGCGCTCTTCAGTACCAGCAACCAAGCACCCAGATCAGCGCTCATCAGGTAAGTTTCACCATAGCTCACTTCTCTCTCGCTTCCCTTGATCTCTCTCTTCTCTCCTTCTGTCTATAGTCCTGACCTACTCTTACTCATCATGCATGCACACTCCCTATCACACGACGATCAACTCTGAATACTACTCACTGAACTCTCCTACTAACTATCCTTACTAAAGAACTAACTGGCGCTGGCACAGCTATGGCTGCCTTCCTTCCAGTCTGTACCGTTCTTTTCTCTCTCTCAGACGTAGCTCTGCTCACAGCCTAGTGCAGCTCACACACATCTAGCGCACAAGTGCCACGGCACTTCCACACTCTCATGCGAAGTGAACATCTGCCGAATGAGGAGGCTGGCCAGTCCTTTATACCGTTGGAGTGGACTGGCGAGGACTGAACTCGGCCTCCAAGTGTCTGGGACTCCTGCCCAGTACCAGTTGTTGCAAAGTGTGTGTCCCAGTATCCCTTCCCATCGTCTGCTGCTGCTTGGGCCATCAGGCATGTCTTTGGGACTCCTGGTCTGAATCAGGACTGACTCGTGGGACTGTGACTGGACTGGGACTGTGACCTTTGACTTATTGCCGAACAGACGTGACTTTCCATCGAGGAGACATGACCCTAACTCAGTCTTAAAATCTGTGTCCAATACCTGGTCGTCCAGGACCTGTTTGTGACTGCCAAAACAACTTTTCATTTTATTATGGATGCGACATTTTTCTCAGGAACTTGTCTTTTGGACTGTGACTCGTGAGACTGAGTTCAGGCCGAGAGGGCCCACTTCATGTTGGGGACACATTTACAGGTCTGAATTGTAAAGGCCCTTTTAATCTGGTGCATCAACCTCTTTATCTACCTGTTCACCTTTTGCTTGACTGGGCTCCTGACTGCAATTCTCAATCACAGATCTGAGAAACTTGCATGATGCAGCAGCAGCGGAAGTTAAACAAAAAATTTATGTGTGCCGACACCGTGCCTGGGCCCGCCAACAAGCAACCTGGACAACATTCAACCTGGTTACTACCTCATCATATGCGATCCTTTGCATCCAGCATCTGTTTTCAGATGTAGATGATACACATTGTCCGCATGTCGGACGAGTCTTCACTGACAAACAACCTAGACAGAATACAAGCTAGTCGTTGAATCATGGTGTATGTCTCTCTTAAACCACCAGTACCTTACGAAGCACTTCTCCGAACCTTTTTTTTTCCGAGCTACCGAACCGCTTTGTTGCGGTAGGAGGAAGCCGGAGAAAAGCAGTCCTACAACAGGCTACCGGTCCTTACAATGTCGAGGCCCCCGTATGCGAGGCCACTGCCTCTATGAGCCCATTCAGCCCCCATTTTGGAGCCAATCGGCCGCCCCAAGTGAAGGCAGGCTCGACGAGGCCCTCAGGGCCTTATTTTGGCCACTGCGCAACTAAGGAAATTCAGGGAGTTGCGCAGCGCCAGTTGGTTGAGAGAACCCAGGCCCTGGGCCGCCTGTGTGAACGTATGGAAAGCAGGCCCTGGGCTGGATACGGGTACTGGGTCAAACACACGCCACAGGCAGTTGGTGCATGCAACCACCTCAGGCCCCAGGCCTGTTCTCGATCGTGCTGGGCCTCAGGCTACCGGGGCCTACTGGAAGCTTCCTGGGACTGGACGCAGGCAGGCCACTTCGATATAGCAAAGGGCCTGCCTCCGCATTCCTCATTGGGGTGCTGGCTGCATGCTGCGCAAGCGCTGCTGCTGCGCTAATTGCTGGCTGGCGCCTACACACTCACGGGCAAGCAGGGAAGGAGCAGGCAGCCATAGCCGAGCTGCGCTGCTGCACAGGGTGGTCCTTGGGTGCAAGTGATATCTGTGTGGTGGGGAACGAGGTTGTGAGTAAGGCGAGAGACATACCTGGTGCTGGAAGCGTGCGACATTGGTCGCTGTATGCTCGTACTTCGGGAGAGCTGTTGTCGTCAACTTCGGCATTGTAGTATAGGCTAGATAGGATCTGCCACATGTAGTCTGGGCGCCGAGTGCCAGATAGGATATCAACTCTGGTTCTTCGTTGATGATGATGATGGGACTATTTCAGCATTGTCAATTATGAACTGTTGGTGTGTTCTTATTTAGTGAATCTCGTGATGCAATTCTGCTGTTGGTTCGAGGTCACGACTATCTGGACTCATATGTATGATGCTGTTTGATTGCTGCAGTTCGCTATTGCTCATCTTCCTTGCAATTTGGTATCGAAGCTGTGGTACGATTGCGCTGATCTGGCGCTTGTCTTCTGCCTTATGCGGTACATACATGCGGTCTGCTTGGTGAGTTTGGCCGTAAGTGGTGTGTAGTGAGGAGGGTGGAGACGAGTGTAGTGGCGACCCAGGAGGTGAGGGGATCGCCAGGAAGGCTATGTGGGGGTAACGTGGTCTGGACAGTGTGATGAGAACTATCTAATGTGGGATTGATGCTGAGAGGTGGAACGGCGAGATAATGCTGGTTGTGCCGATGCAGTGACTGGTCATCGCAATCGCCATCAGGTCATCTGGTGAGATTATCTCTGTGGTTGGGCGCAGCTATTTGAGGTAATGTTGCTCTTAACCTTATCTACCCTCTTCGACACTTCTTACCGTGAGGTTGTGTGTTCCTTCTTGAGAATCCTCTCATTGTGAGGTGTCGAGTGCGCTCAACCTTGAGAGTCGGCAATGTTCAAGTGGAGCATCTGGGAGAAGATGGGCGGAGCTTTCTGAAGGGCCCTGGACGAAGCAATGGGTCACGGTCACCATGCCAACCCACCAGGAGTAGAGCACGCATGCTTTGCTGCTTGTCCTTTGTTTGGCTTGCTGCGCTGTTAGATGGGTACTGAAGGGCAGGCCAGCCCTTAAGGGAGACGAGACCGGGCGTCTTTAAATAAGCACCGGAAGGGGAACCATTGGCTGTGATCGTCGTCCGGCTGCGACGTAAAAGGATTCCTGGAGTCACTTGGGGGCGGACGTTAAATTGCCTCTGGATCAGCCAATGGTTTAAGGCTCACTGCACACGAGGATAATCCAGTGCAGGGCTGGCCAGCTCAGCAGATACTCGGGGCACAGGGGTGGGCCGGACACACATCTTTAGACACACGACGCTCTCCAGATTGCTCAGGGACGCTGACGTCAAGTGATACTCAGGGGAACTAAGGGAGGGGTAAATTTCAGGTGATAAGTTCGAGAAAATTCCATCCTGTCCTATCCGCACAAATTATTCTATTTTTATGTTTTGATTAGTTAGGTGTACAGCCATTGACATCTGACAGACAGCATTAGTTAGAACTGTTTCTTGTTCATGGTGCTTCTGTTTGCGGACTAATCATACTAAAAATAGTATCATTTGTATGAATCTGACTTACCTGTTGGGCCCGAATGTTTAGTCTCAAACATAGTGCAAGGAACATGAATACGAACGAAGCACAGAAATCCAGAATGCAAAATCACACTGAAGTCCAAGTAGTCAAAGCAAGAGCAGATAGCACAATGGAACCGAGTAACCATCCAATTGAGAATGATACAGAAGAATCGTGAGTCAATGTCCATGCCCAACAGGGCAACACCAACAGCATAACCCAATGTAATTCTCTCATATGAATGGCGCCAGGCGCCCTATCTACTCTACAGACTAAGCCTACAACTACAGCAATGAAAGCAACCAGACAATCTGACTACCAGCGAGTGATGATGTCAACACCAATGTCGACCTCCACCTCCACCAGGTACGTGTCCTCTTCACCCACACTCTCCCTTGTTACCCACACAGCGCCCTTCACCTTCGAAGAACCGCCTTCGCCCTCACCTCAGTTGCGCCCCATGCAGCCCGGCTATGGCCGCCAGCGCATAGTGCACAGGCAGCGCCCTACCACCTAGCGCCTGCCTGCCTTGCACATCTTCTTAGCGCACCGCAGCAGCAGCTCGCATTCGCGCAGCATGCCAGCAATGCTGGCATTGGCCAAGAGTCCCTGCCCACTCGCCCTGCTTGCCTATATGCCAGTGTTGCGTGTGGGCGGCCTCCCTTCAGCCTGCGTCTGGGCCCCAATCGCTGAACCCAGGCCCAATACAGTTGAGGCCCGGGGGAATGCAGTTGCGCCCCTTTCATCAAGGCTTGTGGCCAGATTCAAATAGTGGGCCGATTTCCCTTTGGCATTTTCGGCCTCTATACCCAGCATGCATTGCCGGCCCCAAGTTCAAGTGCCCAGGGCCTAACTAACTCAGAGGGCCCTGGGATCCCCACATTTGCAGAGATTCGAGACTCAGTGCACTCCAACCAACTGGCGTGCTGCAACTGTATGGACCCCGACATCGGGAAATGTTTGCACAGAGGGCTCTTGTTGATTTGCTGGCCCGCCTTCACTTAGGACGGGCACTAGGCTTGCTGGGTCCTTAGCCCAAAACATGTACAACATGGCAAGGCCCATTCCATCCCCCTTAGCTTCAAAAGTCCGTTGAGATGCTTACTTCGCAGGTGCCTTCCCTTTCAGCTTCTTCTCATATTCTGCCACCACCTGAGGAGCTGTGTCAATCAGTTCCTCTCTGGTCAACCACCGGTCTTGATGCCTGAATCTGACGCGATATTCTCTCTTGGGTTTAGGAGGTCTTCCTCTACCCAATGGCTTCTGAACAGGCAGATCTTTGTGCTCCACAATGTCGTCGATGTCCGCTTGACCATCCATGGTTGGGGGCAGCATCGATCTCCTGGAAGGGAATTGATCTGTCTCAGCGAAAGGTGCAAGCTTTGAGGCATGAACGACTGGGTGAGTGCGTAGGTGTCCACGGACACGAATGACATATGTGGGACCATCCATCTCATCTCCCACTATATCCAGGACTTCCCAAGGACCAAAGTACTAAGGCATTAGTTTGCGAGAGTTTCTGAATTCTTGTCCTAACTCACTAGCCTGGACCCAGACACGTTCCCCTACCTGAAATGTGGACTGTCTACGGTGTTGATTCTCAGAAGCAATCATTGCTTGCTGAGCTTTCTTCATGTGCTCGACAGCTTCTTGCAGCAACTTCTCATACTGCACACCATACTCAAGTGTGCCTGGAGTTGCAGCGAGTCGGTTTTCGGGTAGGAGGAAGTCTAATGCTGATCTACGCTTTCATCCCAAGTGAAGTTGATTAGGACTAACGTCGGTACTGCTGTGGACAACATTGTTGTACAGGCTGGCGATGAGAGGCAACTGGTCATCCCAATCATCCTGGCTGGGCTTGATGTAATGCCTCAGCAAGTGTTGTACAAGTCTGTTCATTTGCTCGGCTTGTCCGTTGGCTTCGGGATGATTCCCTGAAGTCATCTGTTTTGCAGTCTTCCTCCACAACTCACTTGTGAATCGGACATCTCAGTCTTTAACGATTGATTTTGGTAAACCAAAGTCACGCACCCAGTTGTCTTTGAACAACTTGATGACATAGTCGGTTCTTGCGGTCTCTGGCATAGCCACTAGTCTAGCGTACTTGGTGAATCGATCGATGATGACGAAGATGTGCCTCTTGCCACTCTTGCTAGTCACCAGGGTGTCCATGAAATCCATGGAAACACTCTGTCCTGGACCAGCAGGAATAGGCAGAGGCTTCAACAACCCAAGCGGTGCTCGAGTTCGCGGTTTGTCCCACTGACAGACCTGACAGGTCTCTACGTACTTCTTTGCGTCATCGAACATTCCTGGCCACCAAAATCGTTGTACTAGGTTAGCACTCGTCTTCTTGTAGCCAAAGTGCCCAGTTGCGTCATGGCATTCGCCTAAAAACAAACTACGCAATCGCTCACTAGATGGAACTACTAATCTTTTTATTCCGGCCTTATCAAGATAGAGTAACTCGTCCACCATCACAAACTCACTTTTCGTGGCCTTGTCTTTAGCCTGAAGTTTGCGCATGATGTCCATCGTGACAGGGTCTTCCTGATAGGCTCCAACCAATGATTGAGTTACTTCTTCAGATACGCCTAAGTCAGAAACTAGCGCACCAAGGTAGTCTGCTTTACGTGATAGCGCATCAGCAACCTTGTTATACTCTCCCTTCAGATACTCAAGCTTGAAGTCATATTGGTCTATGCCCTCAATCCATCGCTTGAGTGCGCCAGAAAGAGCCGGTTGAGTCTTGATCCATTTGAGGGTCTGATGATCAGTCCTCAAGTAGAAGAACCTTCCCAACAGGAAGTGTCTCCAATGGACAAGTGCTTTGTATAGAGCATAGAGTTCCCTTTCGTAGGTGGACTTTGCCAACTTCTTCGATGGCATCTTCTTGCTCATGTACTCGATCGGTCTCAACTTTTTCCCATCCTGCTGAGCCAGCACTGCGCCTATGTCGTATTGGCTTGCGTCAGTGGTCACTATGAATGGCTTTTGAGGATCGGGAACCATGAGGACCTCATGATTCATGAGTGCATGCTTCAATCTCTTGAAAGCACCCTCGCACTCATCACTCCAGTCCCACGGTGTGTCAAGTCGAGTTAGATCAGTCGAAGGAGACGCGACTTTAGAATAGTTCTTTACAAAGTTCCTATAGTTGTCGCACATTCCTAAGAATGATCTGACCTCAGTGAATGTTTGAGGTCGTCGCCAGTCTCGAATACTAGCCACCTTCGCATCTTCCGGCCTAATCCCTTCCGCGGATACTTCATGACCCAAGTATAGTATCTTAGTGAGACCAAACTCACACTTCTCTAAGTTGACCTTATACTTGTGCTGTCGTAGGAGTGAGAGTACAATCTCAACGTGTTGTGCGTGCTCCTCGGCAGACTTACTAAAGATCAAGATGTCGTCTAGGTAGACCACGACAAACTTATTTAAATGGTCATGGAAGATCCGATTCATAGCGTGCTGAAATGTTCCCGACGCATTACAAAGACCAAAAGGCATCACTGCAAACTCATACAGACCATAACGAGTCTGAAAAGTTGTCTTGTGTTGGTCCTCAGGCCTTATAGCGATCTGATGATAGCCGGATTTCAAGTCTATCTTGCTATAGTACTTGCATCCCTGCACCCTATCCAATAGGTCGTCTATGCGAGGTAGAGGCTCTGCGTTCTTCACAGTGACGGCATTGAGGCCTCTATAGTCAATGCACATCCTCAATGTACCCCCCTTCTTCGGTACGAATAGCACGGAAGTTCCATAAGGGGAAGTACTAGGCCGAATCCATCCCTTTTCTGTCAACTCCTTAAACTGTTGCCGAAGTTCATCTAACTCGGCGGGAGCCATCCTATAGATCCTTCCCTTTTGGGTCTTACTCCCTGGAATGATTTCTATAGCGTGGACAACTTCCCTTTCAACAACTCCTGTGGGCTCTTCGAACAGATCAGGGAACTTAGCAACGACGCGTTCTATCTCTAGGGGTGTTTTAACGGCCTCCCCTTTCTCAGAGACATACACAAGGTACATACCTTCCTCTTGGTTTTGCTTATAATAATTGTAGAACGCTGATGCACACAAGCAGCCATTAGTATCTATAATGCTACTAGCCTTGAACTTAGTCAATCTGACAGTTCGACCATCGGGCAACTTATGCTTGAGCACCTTCTTATCCCAGTCAAACTGGGGCTTAGCAACTTCGAGGTAGTACATGCCTAACAACATATCAAATGGTCAGTCCTCGCTAACCAAGAACGAGATCTTATGATTAAGTTCTCCTCCTCCATAGGACAAGGTACAGACTACGTCCTTGATATAGTCTGTTACTATCATGCGCTCCTTGTTGGCCAAAGTAGATGCTACAGGTCTACTAAGGTGCCATACCTGGTCCTGTAGGTGCAACCTTTCCAAACAGTCGCGACTTATGTAATTCCGCGTGGATCCGATGTCTATGAAGGCACCACATTTGCGGCCTCCTACATTCACTTCCACCACGAAATGTTCCCCTCTAGGACCTTTCTTCAATGCCACCCAAGACTCGCGAGGGTCCTTGTTTGACCACTCACCTTCTAAGTCTTGTAAGGCCTCAGACACATCTCACATACAGAGCATAGTTTGGTCTAGTTGTGTCTGCGGGTTGGCTAAGGAATCATTAGCTTTGGCCTTGTCATGAAATGGGGAGGGTATCAAGCCCACGTCATCTTGAGTAGAAGCCGCTAAAACTTCCACTGGCCTCACGCGTTTCCCGAGCTAGAAGCCTGGGAATAAGATGCCCCATCTTTGGAGCTATCTTTTGCGTAACCTTTGCGTTCTGGCACTTGTACTGCGAGTGTCCGTATTCCCCACGATTGATACACGCGCCACGCACTCGTCGGTCACGCCACACGTCTTGATCAAGACCTGCCTTTACCCATTCAGCCACTTTGGACTGATTGGAGGCGGCCTTCCCTAGACTCCTAGGTTGGCCCTTCCCTCGGCCACCTGCCTTAGTCTTAACTACCGCGGCGAGGGTGCTACCCTCAGCTACGTCCTCGCCGTCAAACTCTGTATAGTCCATCAGGTCAGTGAGCTCGTCGATTTCAGTTCGAGTCCCATCGGACTCCACCATTATCAACTCAGCCCCTTTCTTCTTCCACTCCTAAGGACTCTTCTTCTTCTTCGTGTCGTTCTGAGTGGGTTGAGCATTGCCTAGTGTGGCCTCTAAATCTAAGGCTTTAGACAATGTCTCAAATGAATGGTACTCGAGGCGCGCCTCGCTGGCCAGCAAGTTCCTGATGTTCTCAGGAAGACATCTCACAAAGGTTGTTAACAGGAACTGGTCACTATAATTGATGTCAGGGACGAGGATCAGGCTCTCAACGGTAGTCGTATGCTCTCTGACCGACTTGAACTTTCGTTGGTCCAGTTTGTTAATCGCATCAGTGGCTCTTTGTGCCTCCTGTGGATTATGTCATCGAGCTTCTACCATTTCCATGAACTGGTCTAACGTTAATGACTTAGCCCAGTCCGACATGCATCGCCCGTACCCTGCCTTCACAACTACACCATCTAGCCATTTGGTTGCCTTACCTTCGAGGTAAGATGCAGCAGTTACCACTTCATCCTCAGGCAAGGTCCTCTTTGCCTTCACCCAAACCGGGACGGTCCTCAACCATGTGTCGAGTTCTTCGTCCTTTCTCTCGCCTGAGAAGGCAAGAGGCAGTTTCATTGGGGTCTTAGGATACCACTGACCCTGCGGCTGTCCAGATTGTTGAACAGGTTGTTGCGGTGGTGTAGCTCCCCAGCTTGAACTGGAAAGGGGCCTGACATCGTCGATGCATGAAGTCTTATCTGTTGTTCACGTGCGCATGCAGCGACAACATATTCTTTTTTAGTGTTTTCACCTGGTCAGACAATGCTGACTCATCCAAGCCCTTTAACTCAACTTTGTCAGCCTCTAAAGTATCAATCCTAGCTGCTCTATTTTTAATCTCTCTTTCTCTGTCGGTACACAACCCTTGCAGCAAGTGCAGCCGCCTGTATCACAGGGTCCACAACCCAGTGGGATGCAGGGACTTTGACAAACACAGTGGGTACCAAAGACGGCCATCGCTGCTCCTAAACCCTTCACAGGGGATTAGAGAGGCAACACATACTTGAGGGCAGTGCCAGTCTATGTTAGGTGTAAACTTACCTTGTCGCACGAAGAAGTGCTTGTGGCTGCCTCCTACCTAGAGGGTAGTGCAGCAAGATAGTTGAGTGGTTTAGTGCAACTCCAGGGGTATGGTCATGACTTCCGCGCTTGGGCGGTCACTCAGAAATTGGATGACTTCCTTAAGCTGGTGGAGGAAAGGTGGAATGATCCTCAGGAGGCCCAAACGGCCACTGACGCGATCCTGACACTGCACACGCGGCACTTTAAGTCAGTAAGGGAAGCCACCGACGCTGTTGAGCGTCAAATCTGTGTCCCTAGGGTGCGCGATGACCCCCACGTTTTACTCACCCCGTACCTGAGATGCTTCTCTTTGCCTCTCAGGAACCAGTTGGCAGGTGAGGCCAACATCAATATGCACAACTTTCCTTCGTTTAGCAAGAAGGCCCTAGACCTTGAGGCAAAGATAGGGCATGGACAGGCACCCACTACGGATGGTAGGAGGAAGACACTGCCTCCTAACAGGAAGGCGAAAGGGCGCATTATGTTTGTCGATAACGATGGTTCAACCATCGAATTAGACGAACACTTCCAGGAAGGAGTAGGTTTAGAGGCTGGCAGCGCAGAAGCTTCAGAGGGTGGAGTAGTCGTTGTCGTAGCTCAGAAAGGTAAGGCGACCGGTAGACGCCGTGGAGGCTCCCGATCAAGGAGTCAAGTTGACCCCAACGCTCCCCGATGGGAGAAGGCGGGTCTCACAGAGGACGTGTGGAGAGATCGGTACACCCGACAAGCTTGTATTCGTTCTGGCCAATATGGCCATAACCAATTCAAGTGCCGGAACAAGAAAGTGATCGACAAGATCCCACCTATGATGGGGCAGGCGGTAGGATCCTCCCCCCAGTTGGTAGCAATGTTGCCAGCACTTCAGGCTCTGCTCCGGGAAACACGTCGGTCCAATAGGAATAGTAGTTGTTCCTACTAGGGTCGAGGTGGTGGAGACACCCTCACCATCTCGAGAGATGGCCCAAGCTACTGACTCCAGCGTCGTCCCGCAAACACGTTCAGACCCATCGAGCCCTTGTTCGATGAATGTGTTTGAATCCTTAGGAGCTAGAGGAGGGGTGGTCTAGATCAGACCCGCTAGCTTTTTGGACGGCCCTAGTCAAAGCCCGAAGGGTGAGATGTTCGTCAGCGAGATAGTCATTGGCGGCCGCAAGGCCGGGGCCTATTATGACACTTGCTCGACAAGGAACTTTATTAATCGCGCGTGCGTTGAGAGGTTGCGTTTATAGGGGCGAGTGCAGCGCCTGAGTCGACCTGTGCCAACAAACAGCGCATGGTAGTCAACGACTACCTCCAGAATGTTGAGTGTTGTTTCCCGTACGAGGGAGGGGAATTGAGACCTTGCGTCTCATTCCTAGTCAGCGATGAACTCCCTATGGATATGTTGTTAGGTATGTACTACCTCTCTGTGGCACAACCCCAGTTTGGCTGGGACCGAAAAGTGGTCAAACACACTTTGCCAGGTGGAGGGACCGCCAAATTACATAAGTTCAAAGCTAGTAGTCTGATTGAGTCCTATGGGTGCATGTGTGCGCCCGCGTTCTATAATTATTACAAGCAAAATCAGGAGGGTATGTACTTAGTTTATGTCTCCGCTGTAGGCGAGCCGGTGAAAATGCCACCGGAGATAGAGGGAGTAGTTGCCAAGTACCCTAACCTATTTGAAGAGCCGACAGGGGTTATAAAAAGGGAGGTCGTCCGCGCGATAGAGAGTATCCCAGGGTCTAGCATCCCGAAGGGTAGGATCTATCGGATGTCTCCAAGCGAGCTCGATGAGCTTCACCGACAACTCAAGGAACTCGTAGAGAAGGGTTGGATCCGGCCGAGTGTCTCTCCTTATGGATCTCTAGTGTATTTCGTACCTAAGAAGAATGAGGGCACACTTAGGATGTGCATTGATTATAGGGGCCTCAATGCCATCATTGTTAAGAACAGAGAGCCCCTACCACGCATCGATGATTTGCTTGATAGAGTGCAAGGGTGTCGGTTCTTCAGTAAGATAGATCTGAAGTCCGGGTACCATCAGATTGCAATCCGGCCCGAGGATCAACACAAAACCGCCTTTCAAACCAGGTACGGTCTATACGAGTTTGTGGTGATGCCTTTCGGCCTTTGCAATGCTCCTGGCACCTTTCAGCACGCTATGAATCGGATATTCCATGACTACTTGGATAAGTTTATCATCGTGTACCTCGATGACATACTTATTTTTAGTAAGACTGTCGAGGAGCATGTTGCACACTTGGACAAAGTCCTCAGTCTCCTGCGCCAGCACATGTTTAATATCAACAGTGAGAAGTGCGAGTTTGGCCGCACCCGTGTCTTGTACTTGGGTCATGAGATATCCGCGGAAGGGTTAAAGCCCGATGACGCGAAGGTGGCCAGCATTCGTGATTGGCCACGTCCTCAGTCTGTGACTGAGATGAGACCTTTCTTAGGAATGACAGGCTACTATAGGACTTTCGTTAAAAACTACAGCATAGTGGTCGCTCCTTTGATTGATCTGACCCGCCTTGACACCCCATGGGAATGGACAAATGAGTGCGAGGCTGCTTTCAGACATTTGAAGCATGCGTTGACGCACTACGAGGTCTTGAAACTTCCAGATCCAAATAAGCCGTTTATAGTCACCACGGATGCCAGCCAATATGGCATTGGCATCGTGCTCGTGCAGCAGGAGGGGCCAAAGTTGAGGCTTGTAGAGTACATGTCCAAGAAAATGCTGTCTCAGAAGTTGGCTACGTCCACCTATGAGAAGGAACTCTATGCAGTTTACAAGGCGCTGACCCATTGGAGGAACTACCTCCTTGGGAGGTTCTTCATCCTCAGGACTGATCATCAGACCCTGAGATGGATGAGAACTCAGTCGGCACTCTTTGACGCTCTCAAGCGTTGGATCGAAGTCATTGAGCAATATGACTTTGACCCTCGGTATCCGAAAGGGGAGTACAACAAGGTTGTTGATGCCTTGTCGCGTAGACCTGATTTCTCAGGTGCGCTGATTACTGAGTTCGATGTGACGGACAATGTTAATCAGTCCTTGGTGGAAGCCTATCGCGAGGACCAGTTCATGTCTGAGATCATACGCAGACCTCAGGCGAAGGACAAGAAGACCTCTGCCGAGTTTGAGTTGGTCAATGGCTTGCCGTTCCTTGAGAAGGCAGGGAATAAACGATTGTGTGTCCCTAATAGCGAGTCTTTGCGTAGCTTATTTTTAGGTGAGTGTCATGATGCCACCGGCCATTTTGGGTACAAGAAGACTGCAGCTAATCTGCTGCAGCGGTTTTGGTGGCCCACGATGATGCGAGATGCCCAGCTCTACGTGGAGACTTGTCAAGTCTGTCAGAGGGACAAGCCACGTACGCAGGCTCCTCTTGGGCTTTTGAAGCCCCTTCCGATCCCCGAACGGCCTGGTGAGAGTCTGTCCATGGACTTCATGGATACTCTAGTCACCAGCAAGAGTGGGATGCGACACATCTTCGTCATCGTGGATAGATTTAGGAAGTACGCTAGGTTAGTAGCAATGCCGGAAACAGCAAAGACGAAGTATGTGATCCGAATGCTCAAAGAGAACCGGGTTTGAGACTTTGGGTTACCGAAGTCTATTATCAGTGACAGGGATGTCCGGTTTACAAGTGAATTGTGGAAGGCCGCTGCTGTAGAGTAGGGAACCCAGTTGCAAATGACTAATGGGAACCACCCAGAGGCCAACGGCCAGGCCGAGCAATTGAATCACGCTGTACAACACCTGTTGAGGCATTACATCAAACCCAACCAGGTGGACTGGGAYGAGAAGCTTGCTCTCATCGCCAGCCTGTACAACAATGCTGTACACAGCGCCACTGGGGTGAGCCCGAACAGTTTACTATTGACTTTCAAGCCTAGACTACCCCTAGACTTTCTCCTTCCTAAGAACCAGTCAACTGCTGCACCGGGTACTTTAGAGTTTGCCTACAGATATGAACAGAAAATGCAGCAGGCGGTAGAGCAGATGTAGAAGGCACAGGCAGCAATGATAGAGTCTGACAACAGACACCGCCGACCTTCTACGTTTCAGGTTGGGGACAGAGTTTGGGTAAAGTCCTCTGAACTGGGACAGGAGTACGGGATTTCCCGTTAACCCATGCCACAGTACTTTGGACCATGGGAAGTCTTAGATATTGTCGGGACTGATCCAGATGGGCCATCTTATGTAATCCGAATCCCAGGTCATCTTCGTACTGACCCCATCTTTCACGCCTCCAAACTTGCACCTTTCAAAGAAACTGATCAGTTTCCATCTCGCCGCTCAATGCTGCCCCCAACCATGGACAGAGAGGTGGACATCGATGACATCGTGGACCACAGAGAGCTGCCGGTATCAATACCAACAGGCAGGGGATGTCCTCCAAAAGCGAAGTTGCAGTATTGCGTTTGGTTCCGGCATCACACTGATCCAAAGGAGGACCACTGGTTCACCAGGGAGGAACTCATGCAGACCGCTCCGCAAGTGGTAGCCCACTACGAAAGATCTCTGCAGAAGGGAAAGCGCCCTATGGTTGAAGATTGAGCTTCTCAGAGGACTGTTGAAGCTAAGCAGGAGGGAATGCAAGGCCACTTCCTCTATGAGCCCATTCAGCCCCCATTTTAGAGCCAATCGGCCGCCCTAAGTGAAGGCAGGCTCGACGAGGCCCTCAGGGCCTTATTTCGGCCACTGCGCAACTAAGTAAATTCAGGCAGTTGCGCAGCGCCAGTTGGTTGAGAGAACCTAGGCCCTGGGCCGCCTGTGTGAATGTATGGAAAGCAGGCCCTGGGCTGGATACGGGTACTGGGTCAAACACACGCCACAGGCAGTTGGGTGCATGCAACCACCTCAGGCCCCAGGCCTGTTCTTGATCATGCTGGGCCTCAAGCTACAGGGGCCTACTGGAAGCTTCCTGGGACTGGATGCAGGCAGGCCACTTCGATATAGCGAAGGGCCTGCCTCCGCATTCCTCATTGGGGTGCTGGCTGCATGCTGCGCAAGCGCTGCTGCTGCGCTAATTGCTGGCTGGCGCCTACGCGCTCACGAGCGAGCAGGGAAGGAGCAGGCAGCTGCGCTGCTGTTAGCTGGGTGTGGCGCAGGGTGGTCCTTGGGTGCAAGTGTCATCTGTGTGTTGGGGAACGAGGTTGTGAGTAAGGCGAGAGACATACCTGGTGCTGGAAGCGTGCGACATTGGTCGCTGTATGCTCGTACTTCGGGAGAGCTGTTGTCGTCAACTTCGGCATTATAGTATAGGCTAGATAGGATCTGCCACATGTAGTCTGGGCGCCGAGCGCCAGATAGGATATCAACTCTGGTTCTTCGTTGATGATGATGATGATGGGAGTATTTCAGCATTGTCAATTATGAACTCTTGGTGTGTTCTTATTTGGTGAATCTCGTGATGCAATTCTGCTGTTGGTTCGAGGTCACGACTATCTGGACTCGTATGTATGATGCTGTTTGATTGCTGAAGTTCGCTATTGCTCATCTTCCTTGCAGGTACTTCTAATGAGAGGTTTTTCATTTTATTTTTCGTTCCCTTCATCTTTGCTTTTCTTTTTTCTTCCTATTTTTTTATCCCTCTTTTAATGCCCTGAGTGAAGTCATCCCCGAGAACGCGGAAAAGGAGGAAGGAAACAAAAGGGAAAAAAAAAGAAAACATTCAAGATCAAGATTTGGCCGTGATCGCGGTTAAACACATTCCGGGAAGCAATCGGGTGAGTATGCCCTCAGTGAGGGCCATCCCTGAGAACGAACGGATTCGCTCTGCCTTGCTGGCAGAACCCCCAAAAAAAAAAAAAAAAAAAAAAAAAGGATTTGGCTGTGATAGTGCTCAGGTACATTCTGTACAGCACTAGTGTGAGCATTCCCTCAGCCAGGCCTTCCCCGACATCTGGTCGGAAGTATTACGTTGGAGGAAAGTAACAGACCAAGAAAAAAAAAAGAAACAAAGATTTGGCCGTGATCGTGGTCAGACACATTCGGGAAGTACTAGTGTGGATGAACGTGGATTACCTCTGCGCTGCTGGCAGAGTCCAAAAGAAAAAACAAAAAAGAAAAAAGGATTTGGCTGTGATAGTGCTCAGGTACATTCTGGACAGCACTTGTGAGCCCTCAGCCAGGCCTTCCCCGACATCCGGTCGGATATTACGTTGGAGGCAAAACACAAACCAACGGGAAAGTACTAATGTGAGCATGCTGTCAGTGAGCGCCGTGGAATATGCCCTGCCTTGCTGGCACGGCACAGAAAGAAAAGTAAAGAAAAATGGCTGAAGTTTTTTTTTTTTCTTTCTCTTTTTCTTTCTTTTTATTTTGCTGCTGTGCTCTGTGGTCGTCCGTGTTCGTTTTCGAAACGCACCTGTGCCGAGGCTCCGCTGAGCCCCTACCCGGCCTGCCAAAGTCTTCCATGAATTCAGGAAGGCTATTTTTTTTGCCTGGGCGGGGTACTGGTGGTTTAAACCGCAAGTACACCACCCAGCCCAACTTGAGATCGGTCATTCCAAAAAGTTCAGACGAACAGTGGTACCCGACCAAAACAGCTAGCAGCGCCAGCCAAAATGGGGAGAAAAAAACACTGCGCTGGCGTTTTGGCAAAGCTTGGTGCACAGGGGGTCTACGCCTTGACAAAGAGAGGCTCGAATGTACTTGTCATATAAGAAGCCCATCATGTTACTTCAGTGGCATATACCATGCGACCTCCATATCCAAACATGTGAAACAGCTTGGCAGAATGAGACATCATTTTCATCTGTGGACTGCTAACATTGGATGGCATACCAACCGCAAAATCGATGCCTACGCATGTTAGCATCCCCTTTGGTTTCAAGGATAGGCTACCGTCTTCTCCCAAATAGAACGTACAGTCATTACGTCCATATCTAGACCGAAAGCTGGTCCAAATGCAGCTATAGTCACTGTGCGTTCTATTCGGGGAAAGAAGGTAGTTGGTCACCCGAGGGATCAGGGGAGTAAACGTGCTTACCTGCCCCCTGCAAAGGGGTACTAAAAAAAAAAAAAAGGAAAAGTACAAAAATATATAAAATAAAATAAAAAGAAGGGGAGTGACCCAAACCCCCTTTTCCCCTGCCTGACCTCCCAGCACCATCCCCCACAAAAAAAAGAATGTTGTAAGGTCAAAGTTTCTAATACAGATTCTGCCTGCTGTCGACGAGCGCAGTTGAACCCCACAGTCAAGGACAGAAAAAAAAACATAAAAAAAAATGCACCGTTTTGGGCCTAATCGGAATTCTGGTTGGACTGATACTGCCTAGCCACATGGGCCCTGCAGAGCCCGTCCCGGACTTTCAGCCTAAAATCCTAAAAGTTACGGCTTACAGGCCCCGGTCGTTTCAGCCTGGAAGCTTAAATACGAGGGCCTGCAGGCCCTATTCCGTTTCAGCCTATTTCTGGGCCTTTCAGGCCCCGAGTTTTTCCAGCCTGAAACGGAGGGCCTTTTTCAGGCCCTCATTGTTTCGACCACCCCTAAGACTCAGGCACGAATACAGGGTTTCAGAACAGGCCAGAAATAGCCTGTTCCTCACGAGCTTGAGCAGGAGCTGCAGCTGCAGCCCCTGCCTYCCTTCGGCATTGGCAAGAGCAGCCTCCTGGACTGCTCGCACGAC